TTAATATTTTTTCTACAATTACAAGTACACGTACACGTACAACTTATTAATTCTGTTATATACATTACAAAAAGCTTTATACAAACTATTTTTATCTTCTTATTAAACTAGTAACTCTCATTTTATAACACTTAACATATACATAACTTTTCCTTAATCTAGGTGTTCCTACTTATGTGTTTTTAAGTTATTCTCAGTGATTCTATAACTCGAAATAGTGGAATGAAACTACGAGGTAGAAGATGCAACACAAACGTATGCAGAGCTTTTTATCAACATGAATGTGTACAAAGGTTATAGAATATGTTGATTCTATTCTATAATGATTATTCCTTTATTATATAATCAAATTATAGCTTAATGGAATAAACTTCGTGCTGAAGCTATAAGAGCGATGATTTTTTTTTTCAAAAAGCCCTTTCTTATGTAGAGCATTTCGAGTAAATTAGGTTAATTTTGTCCAGGGATGCGACTCACACCAGTCGAGTAACACCCAGGTACTCACTTTACTGTTGAGTGAACATGGACATCCGGTGTACGCAAACACGCCCAATGTTTTCACCCTTGCCGGAAATCGAACCTGGACACTCAGGGAGAGCTTTTATCACCAGGCCCGTGGCCTGGTGATACAGGATTACCCGTCCCTGAAATCCGTGCTGGTTGTTGCAGATAAGCTCATTCCTTTCTAGTTGCTCCATCACTCTTCTCCCAATCTTCTCCATGACTTTGCAAACAATACACGTCAGTGACACGTGACTATGATACCCAACACACACTGATGTATATAAGTAACAGTTACTCTGGAATACCTAATTATATTGAACAAATGGGGGGGGGGGAAGATTGCTTAACTGTCATAAGGGCAGATCACCCTTATGGCTGTAAGGCAGCTGAGTCAAGCCTGTTTTTCTCAATATAATAGGTTATACTATAGACACACAAACACACAATTTAAATAAGTAGTTTATAAAGTTGTATTTCTTTTGTAAATGTAAAATAAGTGTGGTAAAATGGTGGTAACTAGAGAATTGTGCTTGGCAACAGTTTTTTGTTGTTTGGTGGGTGTGGGAGGAGCTTAGCTAGGTCCCCTATCCTCTCTCTCTTCTTTGGCTTCAAGCTGGAAGGACCTCTTGGTCCTTCTTTCTATTTTTTGGGCATTGTGTGTGCCCCAGGGGTGAGTTTTATAACTTAAGTTGTGGCCACCATACCCAGGGTGACTAAAGTGTGTAAAAACACTGGTTATATCAGAAGAAAGGGCAATTTGTCCAGATTCACCATGTCCAGGGGTGTGCAGGCTTATGCTGTGCAGGCTTATGCTGTGCAGGCTTATGCTTTGAATATGTGAGTGATGTAATTGTATATTTTGTACATATCTATTTAGAATACAGTTATATTTTTTATAGAGGTAGTTTAAATAACCTGTGAAGAGGGCTGGTGAAAGGATTTCAGAGTGAGGATAATAAATCATGTATGTAAATATTACCCTAGACTGAAAAGGCCTTTGTGTAAAAGCTACCCCACACTGGATCATGTAGTGAGAAGCTTACTATCAAAGTAATAAGGGACAACAAAATAACAGTGATAATGATGGTCTAGTAGCTAGGAATGATAACCTTTACTATATGTAATACATACATAGGTCAGTGTGAGACAATAGAAGCAGTCAGAATGATGACAAATTCTCACTCCCGCCGGCCTACTCCACCAATTTTCAAAAGTCTAAATCTGCTCACCATTAAGAACATCCATACTCATTCATGTGCCTGGTGGCTAAAGCTCCTGCTTCACACACGGTGGGCCCGGGTTCGATTCCCGGCGGGTGGAAACATTTCGACACGTTTCCTTACACCTGTTGTTCTGTTCATCTAGCAGCAAATAGGTACCTGGGTGTTAGTCGACTGGTGTGGGTCGCATCCTGGGGGACAAGATTGAGGACCCCAATGGCCCATACCTGCCTAGTATGGGCCAACAGGCTTGCTGCAGTGTTCCTCCTTTCTTATGTTCTTATGTTCTTAAATAAGTCAGACAGTCCTCGATGACGCACTGACTTTCTTGGGTTATCCTGGGTGGCTAACCCTCCGGGGTTAAAAATCCGAACGAAATCTTATCTTATCTATCTCATCTTATACACAGAATAATACACGCAAATTGAAATCCTCCACTCAAACTTCTCACCAACCTTAACAGGACACATGACCACACCACAAGACACAGATCTCTTTTTGATATACCTCGTGTCCATATCACACTGTGTAAAAACTCTATACACATAAAGGGCCCCAAAATTTGGAATTCATTACCAGAAAATACCAAAGTAACCCGGTCTGAAAATCAGTTTAGGACTCTTCTCAAAACCCACTTAATCACCCTAGACTACATACACAATACTCAATATTTAAAATTACCAATAAATCTACCAATTATCTAAATCTTAAAACTTCATGACTAGACAACCTAGCTCATATATTGACAAATTACCACATAGAAGTATACATACCTACCAAAACCTGTATTACCCTTCACCAAATTGTAGCAGTCCCATACTGTAAACTACTGTTAACTACTGTAAACTACTGCAAACTACTGAAAACTACTGCAAACTACTGTAAACTACTGTAAACTACTGTAAACTACTGTAAACTAATGAAAACTACTGTAAACTAATAAAAACTACTGTAAACTACTGTAAACTACTGTAAACTAATAAAAACTACTGAAAACTGAAAACTACTGTAAACTACTGTAAACTATTCCTGAATCACGTCTCATAAAAAGCACTTTTGAATACTTGAACATATCCTTTTGTTTGTATAAATTAGATTCACTTATTATTAATA